CAAAAGCAGCAGCCAACCATATGCAACTTGTTTATGATATACCTCACACAGCAAGAGATACATATCCTCTCCAATTTAAAACTGGACAGAATTTAAACACAAAATTTGTACTGTGTCAAGTAATCAATAGCAAAAAAAATAACGTTTACATACAGATGATGTTCTCTTCTACCACTCATGCTGTGAGATACTAAGCAGTAGCTGCCAGCCCATTACTGAGATGGACTAAATTAAAAAGAGCATGTTGAGCAGCTCTATCTCAGATCTCTCAGCCACAGGGAATGTTACAGTTACTGCCTCATAATACTTTTACACAGTAGCAAAACCCCCAAACCCAAACAACCTAAACAAACCAAACAATCCAACCCCAATAAAAAAAACCCACCAACAAACAAACCAAACAACAATCACAGAAAACACAAGTGGATATAAGGGTTTCAAACTGGAATTTATAAGGCCCAAGCATACCACATGAACCGGAAAAGCCTTAGATTCTCTTAATCAAATATGAATTTCAACAGCCTTAAAAAATTTACCATTACCTTCAGTAACTCAGCTGTGCTCAGTAACATTATGCAAGAAACCCCACTGATGGGCAACAGAACAGACAGGAAATAGGCTAAAAATAACGAAGAAAAGAGATTATTATCAAGACTACATCATACAGCTTTACAGGAACTAAGTCACCTGCTATGATCTTGCATCAACACCAAGCTCTAGATTTCACAATATGCTATCTCCCCTAATCATGACAAGAACCTCACAGAACAGAAGATGAAAAGCTGCCATTATTTGTTGCTTTTAGACACCAGACACCTGATTCTCCCTATAAGCCAAGAACAGCTCTCAGACTGTCACATGAAAAGCCATAATCTATGGAAATGACATCTGTGAACATGTTAAGTTCTTTCTGTATGTGGGAACACTGCAAATATTTTTTACAATGTTCCAGAAACATTACTATATAGTAGTTCATGCACTGCTCCACCAGAAAAATTACAGCTGCTCCCATTCCAAAAGAGACTACCCACCTCCCAGTTTGACTAGACTGAAACCTAGAAAAACCTTCTTTAGAATGGAGTCTTCCTTGCCAGGTAAGTGCCTGCATTGGGTTTACTTAGTAAGGCTTTGGTGATGAGTGGGCTGCAGGGGTGGCTTCTGTGAGAGACACCAGAAATTGCCCCCATGTCAGACAAAGCCAGTTTCAGTCAGCTCCAAGACGGACCTGCTGTTGCACAAAGCTAAGCCCCTCAGCCATGCTGGTGATGCCTCTGCTATAACACATTTAGGAAAGGGTAAGAACGCTGCACAGCAGCTGAGAGGGGAGAGAATAACTGAAACAACTCTGCACATCCCAAAGGCCTTGAAAAAGGACATGTAGGAAGTACTTCAGGCACCAGAGACTTCTCTACAGCCCACTGTAAAGCAGGGTGTGCCCCTATAGGCCCATGGAGGTCCACAGTGGAGCACAGATCCACCTGCAGCCCAGGGAAACTCCATACCAGAGCAGGTGGTTATACCCCAAAGAAAGATATAGCCCACCGAGAGTCTGCTGGAGCACCTGGTAGGAGCTGTAGCTCATGGAGAGGACACATGGACAAGAATGCTGCTCTAGGCCGGAGTCCTGTTTTACACAGGGGATCATATTCAGTGCTCAAGTGGTTCTTTATGGATGAATAAATTAGTATATTAGAAAAGTTGTGTAAAAAATGTGTCATTGTATAGCAAAGAATCATAGAACGGTTTGGGTTGGAAGGGACTCAAGGATCATTTGGTTCCAACCCCTCTGCCATGGGCAGGTAACCTTCCAGCAGACCAGACTGCTCCAAACTTGATCCAACCTGGCCTTGAAATCATCCAGGGATGGGTCATCCACTTTGCTGGACAACCTGTGCCAGTGCCTTACCACCCTCTCACTAAAGGATTTCTGTGTAATATCTAATCTAAATCTATCCTTCTTAATTTTAAAGCCATTCCCCCACTACATGCCTTTGTAAATAGTACTGCTCAACTTTCTTGTAGAGTCACCTCCCTTTATTTACTGGAAGGTGCTCATAGGAGGCCACCAAATTTATCAAATTTGCTTTAGTGAAGTCACACTGGCTGTCATCCATCACCTCCTTATTTTCCAAGTGGCCCAGGACGATTTGCTCCATGGGTTTGCTTAGTAAGCAACTGGTGGTCAATGAACGTGTTTTCTGGGAAAAAGCCCGAAGGCACTGTTACTCACATTCCATCTTCAGCAGTAATGTATACATACAGATGCTTTTACCCACAAACTGTTCAGCTTGTCATGCTTCTGATAAACAGAAAACAGGGAATTGAAATCACTGAGATAGGAGAGGACAGAGAGAATTGTTGTCCTGTTCCATTCAACTGTTCTCACCACTAGGGTACCATAATCCAACTCCACTTTCCCTATCCACTACTATGTGGGTTTTTGTTGTTCTTTTGTTTTTTCTTAAAGTAGCCTCTAGATTACTTTTTAAAGGAGAGGGCTTGCTGATCAGCATTCCAAGCAAAAGGCAGCTCCTTAATCTGCCAAATTTTACCAGTGAGACACTTGCAAGCACCCTTATGCATCAGGAATCCAGAAATACCTGCCTTACTGGCACTTTCTACTAGAAACAACTCTGCTCAATGTTTACAGGTGCACCTGACATTTCTCAAAATTCTGTATAGCTAGGCTAGCTAACAAGATGCAGTTGCATAAATCTTCTTCTGGGGACCCTCACAATTTTCCAAGAGTAATAGATGGTTGTACCAAAGTAATGTTTGTACCAAAGGTAAATATTCAGTCTGACCATCTGTATAACAGTATCTCAGAGACAGAAACTGAGAAGAGTTATGCCATGTCATGTGAGCCAGGTGTCTGTTAAGAGGCCAATTCTGCAGCAAGGAAACAGCCTTCTAGGTTGTTAATGAACAAGACTCCTAGTCTTAATGCRTAAGTGCTACAGTTTTCAAACAGTAATTACTTGGCTGCTTTCCCCATGTCTGCTTTCTCTCCCAGTAATTATATATAGGCAAAGTATTTCCAGTAATTTCGAATTACCCAACCTAATGTGAAATCACTTTTCAATGAGTCTTTTCCTGACCAAGTTCTCTGTTGCAGAACTTATTTTTCCCTAATAGTTCATAAGTAGAAGAGTGACTCTTCAGCACATGTAAAACTCTTTCTCTCCAAATACTGCAGGATCACAGAACATACTTCAGCTCTCTTGTTAAAACCACAAAATAAACCATTATTATTCTTTAATGAAAGTGTTAAAACAGCCTTAGAAGTCTGGAAGAGCCCATCTGGTAAATGTAACTCTCTTACCTCCCAGATATAAAGGCAGTATTATTTTAAACTGGCAAACTACACGAACTAACATCTGGCATTTGTTTTAAGTGTCCCTTACATAGCCACAGAACAGATAACCTTCACATTCATTAACCTCCAAATTCCTTTCTAAATCAAACTGTCAAACACATCACGTAAGATCACTTATATTTGTGGCATGTTTGAATGTTTCAGGAAAGGCTAGCTTCCAAAATTTTAAAAGATGCCACTCACAGGTATCAAAATAGCTTCTCCAGATTCTCACAAAATACTTCAACTTGTTGAGATGAGAGGTTTTGCAAAAAAAAAAATGTGTATCCACATTAATTTGGCTCAGCCACTGGAGACCTGTTCTAATCACACCTGCTAGAAGAGTGCACCTTTCTTACATAGAAAGAACCAGACAACCAAGACAAGCCAATCAGTATAAAAACTCGAATTTCTCATACACTGAAGTCACAGGCATATTACATCACCATATACCACAAAGAGGTTTTACATAGCAAGAATAGATTTGTTACTGATTGAATAGAAACTTGTTCTCTACGACAAAGATGGATTCAATAAGAATTTTGATACTTCAAGGAAAAAAAACAACCTTGGCTTGTTACTTAGAGTACAAACATGATGTAGAAGGGAGGCAGAAAAGATGGAGATAGCAAATTAGACAGGGAAACAATACTTAAAAAGACAACAATGCAAAAACACAAACAGCTGTGAAGCGTACACCAGATAGAAGTAGTTTGTATGAGAAAGAAAAGCACTTATTTCCTTGTGGTTATGATACTGATCTCCCCCAATCGTCTTACTGGTAGTTAACTACAACCAAGTACTACAGGGAAACAACAGAAGTGCCAAAACATTTTCAAAGCATAAGCAATTTTCAAAGATAACCAATACTCTGCGAAGTTCCCACGTTCTGGAAAACACTAAGAAAACAAATATAAACACAGACAGTCTCTCTTTCATCTCTGCTCCTAGTATGTAATAAATTTTCAGCTTTGGGGCTGCTGTTGCTTTTTTTTCCCCCTATTACAGATAGCAATCTCCCTTGCCCCAACTTACTGTATATTGAACTTATCATCAGTTTTTGGGATGTTAACAGTGCTACAAACGCAGAATTTCAAGAGAAGCTCTATCACCTTTCTCCTCATCCATGTTTAGACATACACCACCTTTCATCCGGTGTCCCTGTGTACCAAAACGCTTCACCTGACACTGACAGCAACGCACGCTGTAACCCCACAGACCCGGTGCGCGACACGGCCGCTACTTTCAGCGAAATCCTGCCCGAGCAGAATGACCCGTAGACAAAGCGCGGGCCGCGCACATGGGCCGTGCCCGCCGCAGCTCCCGCAGCAGCCCTGGGCATGCCCGAAGGACAGGCGGGCAGCCCATAGGGCTGTGCCTACCCCGCGCTCCGGGGCCGGGGCCGGAGTCCATGCCCGCCGCACCGCCTGTCCCGACACAGCTTCTTACGGGAACTCCCCCTCGCCTCAGCCACCGCGCTACCTACGCGCGGCCCAGCCGAGCCAGACCCTGTGCGCTCCTACAAATGGGAAGGAGTGAAAGGCAGAAAAGGAATGATGAAGCAGCCATTTCACCTGCCCGCGGCCACCCCGTGGTCCCCTCAGGGGGCGGTGCCGCTGCTTCCCCGCCCCCTTTCCTCCCTCCCGCCACTTCCGGGAGCGCTACAAAAGTCTCGGAGGCTGACAGGGCTCTCGCAGCGGTTGGTCTGGCCGGGAAGTGTTGACCCCCTATGACACAGGGGGTAAGTTGACCCCTACCGCCCCAGGCCGTGGCGGTACCTCTGCTGGAATAGGTGCGTGCCCGCGGCACGGCTACTGGGCCTGCCGAGCCGAGAGGGCAGTGAGGGGCCGTGGCGGCGGGCAGCAAAAAGGTCGCGTCCACTTTGCTTTGCGCATGCGTAGGGCCCGCCGTGTGGGGCCCAGGTGATGCTAGCSCGTGACCGCCACTCCCGGCATGCTTTGCATGGGCGCGGCGCATGCTGGGTTGTGTAGTGCTGTGGGTAGGAGGCAGGATGTGGAGGCGCCTTCCCAACAGGTATCACCTGGGAATTCTGGATGGCGGCTGGCGCCCGCGGCTTCGCGTGCCTACTCACTCCGCCTCGTTGACGCCCGTCCAGCCCTCTGTCATACTGCCAAACCAGGTGGGATGTAGGCGAATCTGTCAGTCTGATTTACACTTTTGGAAGCACATTGTTTAGAAAAGCAATGTTTTGAAGCTGTGTTTTTTTTTTAGAAAAGCAATGCTTTGAAGCTGTGTATTGGAGAGAGCCTACAAGAGAGCTGGTGAGGACCTTCTTACAAGGGCATATACTGATAGGACATGGGAGCCATGGATCAAAGAAAGGGCAAGTTTAAATGAGACATTAATGAGACCCTGGCATAGCTTGCCCAGAAGAGGCAGTGGTTGCCCCATTGCTGGAAGTGTTCAAGTCCAAGTGGATTTGGGGGTCTGAGCAGCCTGGTCTAGTGGAAGGTTTCTGTGACCATGGCAGTGGGTTTGGAAGTTGATGATCTTTAAAATCTGTCCCATCCCAAACCATTCTGTGGCTTTGATTCTGGGCTCCACAGGCACTTCCTGTTTCTTTGGAATTGCGGCCATAGGTAGGGGAATTGGTTGAAAGCTGGACTGAAAGAATACTTATTGCAGTTAGGATTGTGTTTGGAGGAGAAAATGGGTATTAAAGGATGGAAGAGCTAAGTGTTAGTAGCACTTAGCATTAGTTAGTAAGTGACTGTTTTGGCTAAGACGCTAAAGCTAGAAGACCTCTGGTTATGTGGAAGTTTCATTCTCTTTATCAAAATACTTTCTAGTGTATACTTTTCCAGCTTCGAAGATACTAGAAAATATATAGCTGAGTTTATGTCTTTGATTTTTACAGTCTCAGATGCATTATTCACATAGCATATGAATTATCTGAATAAATAAGAAAACCAGAATAATTTTATAAATTGTTCTTTTATGTGTGACTTTTTTTTATGACTAGGCCAAACAAAGTAAATTACATAGTGGAGGAAAAGATTAGTAGGGAACTCAAGAAACTAAATATCTAGGAAGGAATCTCCTATTAGGCAGCAATCCAGCAGACTTTTGAAGCACTTAACAGTTTGCTGGATCAGGATCATATTAAATTAGTGTGTATGGGTACATAGTACATTCTTTCTTCACTGGCTTACCTAAGCTCTTCAAAATTCTTGTACCAGAAACTGCCACTGCAGGAATGTGGATTGAGTGTCTGCTTAGCTAAAGTGTATGGTGTGGTCCTGCCCAGAAGTATATTGTTGCTATGCTACTTCAGTTTATTAAAATAGGCAATCTTGGGTTCCATGGAGAATATTCGCTACTTCAGGCAAGTTTCACAAGTACTGGACGAATAAAGGTTGCTCTTTTCTTCTCATGTCTGAATGTCTGTGTCAAGCCAAAACAGTCCATCATCTCTGTGGTTAAGTGACAGGTCCTACCTGGCTATGTTTGACTTCAGGTGACTGAAGCACAAGGCTGGCCTTCAGGAAACCCTTAAGTGAAACTTGAATGTGTGCGCGTGGCAGATGGGATATTTTAATTGCTCTCCACCAGTGCTCTTTTACTGTCAGAAATACCAGTTAATTGATTTCATTTAGACAACATTTAGAAACATTTATTTCTTTCATGGTAGCCTCAACTTCCTTTCTGCTGTTGGTTATCCAATTCACTAACTCAGTGAGCTGTCAGATGTAAGTTTGCAGGAAACTGCTGTGCCAGAACAGTCCTGTGTTCTGGTTCCTTTCCTTCCCAGTTCTGAAACACCCTCTTCYGTCACAGGCAGGATCCTGGTGTTGAAAAGTGCATGTGTACTAGTTCTCTCATGTATGAAAACTTTACTTTAAAACACTAACATTTGTATAACAAGAGGCTTGATTGTACAAAATAAAATATTCAGTGAGGCATAAGTCTTGTCACATTTTGAATGGGAAGTTCGTGGCATTCATTTACCATTGATAACAGAGCAGTGCAAGGCCAAAATTTAAGGTTCCCTAAATAACATAATTTTATTTTCTGGGAGGAAAGGAGGAAATAAAAGCAGGCATGATCTCTCTCAAGAGTTCTTTCCTCCACCAGCATAGTAAAGGTGGGTGAGAATTTATTAATAGAAAAACAGACATCTTGTCTTAAACATGTTGTTTTCAAACAGCAGCAGCACGTAATGTACATTCCAGAGTGACTGGATACTGTCACTTCCCTATGATTATATGCCACTTAGCATGCATGACACACAAACTAGTTACTCTTTTTAGCAAGCTACATGTTGTCACAGTTTGGCATTAGAACAGTGGCAGAATAAGGAAAAAATTACTTAATGCTGTGGGTAACCAGTATTCACTATGAGATTGACATGGCAGACCCCAAGCTTGATCCTGTTCATGTAGATATCGATAAGAGCAGAATCAAACTGTTGTTTCATCTACATCATTATTGCAGCTAGAGCAGATTCGGGAAAAAAAACAAACCACTCAAGTCATATAGAGCCTACATCAATAATCCTGCCTGTGAATATTTTGGATTTTCATTATTACCTAATTATTTTGATGATATTCTTGCTAAACCCAAACATATTTTGTGTCAGTGGCCCATTTTACTAATGACATTTCTTCTTATTAATGTGCACAGGGAAGCCAGCCCATGTTAAGGAATGAATTGTTACATCGCATGCAGAGTCTGGTTAGGAACTTGAGAATCTAACTGTCAGATTAATTAGTGAACAAAATTAATTTCCTTTGGTTTCTCTCTGGGAAGTTATTTTTTCCTATTCTTTATGGGKTTTTTTCCAACTAAGGTGGATTTTTGCATATATCCATTCTCCAGTATACCTGGAGAGTTACCCAAGAATGAGAAGAGCAATTTCTTTCTCTCTCTTCCTATTTCCTTCTTCTGTCCAATAAGTATAGTAGAAGTCCCTATGGCGTGGAAATTTTAAAATACAGTTTGACAAAAACAACTCTGCTTACAGCAAAATTAGTGTTTCAAGCAGTTTCCATTTTGCTAAAGTTTCTGATGAATGGTGTAACATCTTCTCAGAGGCTGTATTATCAGGAGCCTCTGAGCTACAAAGAAACCAGTGAAAACTTATCTGAAAATTTATCTACTAAATTCTGTGCATTTTGTTCAGATTGGCAATGGTTCGTAGTAACCATTGAAAAAGTGGTGGGCTCCACCTGAAGCAGATTGCATACTACAAGCGAACAGGGGAATATCATTCCACAATATTATCAAGCGAAAGAAGCGGAATCAGGAGAGCAGCCAAAAAATTTGTTCTCAAAGGTAAAAATTTTCTCAGTAATTATTCTGAAAATAGATATTAAGATGAAGATTTGCTAATATGAAATAAAAAGAAGGGATCTTGCTCTGCAGCCTTCTGTGACTTTAAAGACATGCTCTATGAGACAAATGCTCTGCAAATCCCTGGTTAATATATAACAGGATGTTTGTAGAAATGAAAGCTTGATCTGCTTTAGTCCATTCCAGAATAGGTTTATTCATCTATATAAAAGCCAAACCTTGTTTTATATACTGCAGATATATGTTGTCACTACCATCAATAACTGAAAGGATTACAGAAAGGGAAATGCACATCTGCACTTGTAGACAAGGAATGATCCATCCAGTCTGGGGGATGGCTGGGCAGAAGTGCAAGGACAACTTTGGCATCAGTCACTTGAGAGGCTCTGGGCCCTTTGCTATTTCACTGCAACCCTGGGAGATGTATGAGCCTTTATGAGTCTTTGTCGTCTGCTGTGCTTTCTCAATTCCATCAAAACTGCCAATTTTGTGGAGAGAGAAGGCAGGGAGGAGTTAAACCTATGACTCTCAGTGTCAGGTTGCTGGCAGGCACCCAACAACTTCGCAAACAACAGTCTCAACATTCCTACCTCTTTCAACCCCAGTGTTAGCTTGTGTTTCAGTCACATTTCCTGTGGGAATGCTGTTTGCATTCTGGTATACCCTTGTAACTCCTCAGGTACAGATTAATAAATGTGGCTGAACTGACAGCTTTTTGGAGGACATAATTGAAATGTTTATAAATAAAAGCTATGTTTACACCAAAGTGAACCTATTGTAATAAATTCTGGTCTGAGTCATGCTCAGTAGTTTAGTAAACTAAACAGAAGACAAAGCACTTGCTTTATAGTTTTCTGATACTTTTCTTCTTTCAGAAAATGAGTTGTTCTATGTTGGAAAAGACAGAAAACAAATGCGCCTGGTAATTTTTTCAGATGAAGAGAAGACAAAGGTTCTCGAGGAATGGCACAGAAATGCTGCTGGCACTCGTCATGGTATATCAAGGACACTGACTTTAGTGGAGTCTAATTACTACTGGACCTCTGTAACAAATGATGTCAAAGAGTGGGTATGGCCTCGTAGCTACAGGATGCTTTTTTGTGTAGTCTTGTTACAAATGTTTGGTAATCCTATGAACTTTGATACAAGTACCTGGGCTATTTCATGAGGAGGAGATGTGAGCTTGCAATCACACTGCAACTGGTCATCTTGGTGTTTTCTTTTTACTCTTTTACTACTTTTTACTGTTGTACTACTGGCTTGCATACTGCTATACCCTATGCAGTGGTGGCAAGCCATAATCTATTTTAGTAGGCACTGATATCTGACCCTTGAGAGTGATTTCTTGTGCAAGGAATCTCACATATCTTTGTTAGGATCAAAGGATGTTTACACCATCCTTGTGATAAGCAGATAAGAATATGAAAATTATATCTCTGCTTTACAATTAGGTGTGTTCAGAAAATAGTTTAAAAAAATCACTGCTTGGAAAGTTCCTTCTTCTTCACCTAAAGATACAGGGCAGGAACTCCTAGCAGAATTTCAGGAAGCTGTGTGTCCTTTCAGGCCAAATTATGCTATTGGTTTGCGGCATTACCAAAATACTTGGAGTTCATGTGCAACTGTAACATGAACTGAAAATGAGTCTTTCAATTCAGATTGAACAAAGGGGCTCTGTCCCATAAATTAAGCTGTATGGAAAATTATGTATATTTCCAGTGTTTTTCAGCCACAGCACACTTAGAGGAGCCAAAAGGGGAATTATTARGACTCCCTTTCATTCCCAGCTTCTTCATACTTCTTTCAGTATTTGCAGATAGTAATGGATTTTAAAATTTATACTGTGGATTTAAAAGAGCACAGTGCTTTCAGAATGGAGAAGATTCAGCTATGGGTTCTTTTACATGTCCCTGTCCAGGCCTTCAGTATTGTTAGGTTTTATTTTGGTTTTATGCTGAGTCTGAAAAACCTAAAGACGAAAAATATTAAGAAAGGTGATGAAATAAATTCATTTTGTCTGGTCTGACCTGATTTACAGAGAACAGTGGAGATCTATGGTTCTGATCACTTTTTGTTGATAGAATCTTCCCTGATGTCTTCTCTAGGTCTATGCTTGCCAGCACTGCCAGGCAGCAAAGAACACAACCACCACAGTGCCCAAAAATACCCTATCAAAGCACAGGACCCATGGACAGCAGTCACTATAGAGCTATTGGGACCTTTCAATATTACCAACAGAAGTCATAAATACATCATAATGATGACAGATGTGTTCACAAGATGGACTGTTATCTTACCACTGCATGACACTTCAGCTGAAATTGCTAAGGCAATCATAAATGTGTTTTTCTTATATGGACCACCTCAGAAGATGCCTATTGATCAAGAGAAGGAGCTTGTTTATCAGGTAAGTATTTATATGGCTGGTTAATCTCCAGGTTTTCTTTTTTTTTTTGGGGGGGGGCGGGGGGACGGTTTTGGTCATTGTTTATGTGTGGTTTTGGTGGGTTTTTTGTTTTTTGTTGCTTTTTTCCCCAATAAATACATTTTCCCTTTTATTAGATTTGAATTTTCCCTTTAGATTTGAATTTTAGACCATTTTTGAGAAAGGCTTTAGTATTTTTTTTTCAATTGAAAAAGTAAAGTACATACAAAAAATGTCAAACCAATTATGTACAATTTTAAGGTTATGTAATATTTCCTAGGACTTTATTGTCTGTAAAAAGTACAATGTAAAACTATTTACTGACAGTCATAATGCAGGTTTTGTCACTCACTTCAACTGGCATAAATTTTCACACTACAGTCTGCTGGATTTCATTCACCCATATTGCCCAGTATAGCAATAGCTAAGGGTATTTTTTACGTTGGCTTATAATGATTATGAAAGATTTACCACACTTCATTCCTCTCAGAGATGATGAAATCATCAGACTGTAATACAGAGGTAATGATTGATTAAGTGGCAGAAATTTGGTAAACACCAATTCCTCGCTCCTAAGCCTTACTTCTTTAGCTGTCATTGACAATCCTGGTGTGTTTTGTGCCAATATGTGTGCAAGACTTTTCTTGATACAATGATGACTGGGAAAAGCGGTGGAAATCTAGGTTTTTTGCTTGAAATAGGATACAGAACAGGGGAAATGTTCACTAATTGTGTTATTCTTCTCTTGAAGACAAATGAAGAACTGTTTGTACTGTTTGGAATGAAACAAATTGTACTGTCTTACCCTCAGACAGATGATGTAAATGAAGGAATATCCAAGACAATCAAAACTTTTCTTAACAAGTACTGCATCGACCATCCAAATGATTGGGATGAACATTTGTCTGCTATTGCTTATGCTTTTAATTTGACAAATTCGGTATGTGAAGGTTCTTCCTCTTTTGACTGAAGTCCCCCAAAATGTCTGCAAAGCTGTATGCTAAATTTCTTGGTTTTGGTCCCCGTTTAAATAGGAACCAGATCTAAACACCCCATATTTCCAAATGTTTAACCGTAACCCATATGGTGTTGAGCCCATGAATATATGTGTGGAAGGAGAATATAGTATTTTTACCAAAATACTTGAAGCAACTAAAACAGTCAGTCAACCACTGGAAGAAGAGAAAACCTCAGATTGCCAGGTAAATGTTATGTATTTTCATTTTACTAGCAAGAAGACTGAAAATAAAGGTGGAAAGGTTTAAGGCATAAAGTATAACTAACCATTTAAAACAATGTGGGGGTTTGTGTTACGGTTTTTAGTCTTTCTTCATCTGTAATCCCTTCATTTCAGTGTAACACATTTCATTTGTATTTGGAGGGAGTATCCTTAGGAGACCTATTGTCAAAAATTTACTAAATCTGACTTAAAGAGCAGAAAATAGAAGTTGAAAACTATTGTTTATGGAGTGTTGATTTACAAAGATAAAATAAATTTCTTCATCATTCTTCAGTCCCACATAATTATGAACTACACACATCCAAAGCCACTCAATGTTATGCTTAAGCACTGTTAACCAATGGTATGAAAATCCATTGTTAGTTTTGGAAAAGAAAAATGTAATTTATATGTATCTTTCTGCAGATGCATAAGAAAACTGCAGATGAACAAAAATTCAGAAGCAAAATCACAGTCAAAAGGAAGCCAAAAAATTTAAATACCCTTCGACTTAAAGTTGGTCATGAAGTCCTTAGGCAAAGAAAAAACTGGTGGAAAGACGATCGTTTCCAGTCGCAATGGATTGGTTCTTGTATTATAGATTACATCACAGATAATGGCTGTGCAATATTAAGAGATTCTACAGGATCCAAGCTGAAAAGACCCATCAAGATGTGTCACCTCAAGCCATACATAAGAGGGTCCAGTGCAAAAGGTGTATTTTTTAAATGATAAAAAAGGTTGGGTTTTCTGGTTGAGGGTTTTGTTTTAACTTCTCTGTTGTGGTATTAGGTTCTTAGAATGAACAAGTATCATTGACTTACCAGTGGGAATTACATTAGCACACACAATAATGCAATAGCTGTAATTTTCAGTAAGGAGAACAGTGAGTGTTAGTGACATCAAAGTATGCAGAGCATGAAATAGAGCTCCTGAATAAGTCTTTTAAAAATAGCCTCTATTATAGATGCTTCTAATCAGCTCCATTTGCGCTGGCTGATAGAAGTATAAGAACATGCCAGTAGTATACGCAGGCCGAATTGTGTTCAAGGAGTGTTTTCTGACTGTGTTTCTGTTTTGGGGCAAGCAGGATTCACATTACTTTTTGTGCAATGGAAAGTGTTTTTTTACACAACATCAATATGTCCTCTAAAGCCTTAAAATAGAAAGACTACATCAGAGAACTGGTTTTGGAATAGTTTATTGTAAATTGTCCATTGAAGAAGACCATGTTTCTCTTACCAGAGCAAACAAAATTGTCATGCTCTGTAGCAGGATGGCTAGAAATTCCCAAAGATTTGGGTAACCAACTTCTGCCCTTGGTCTTACGTATTCAGCATGTCCTTGTGCAAATCAAAAAGTGGCAGCTGTTTCTTTTCTGCTCATCCTGTCTTTGAGTCACCACACACATTTTGAGGAAAATTAAATACTTGGTGTTGAGAAGACTTCTGTCACAGAACAAGCTGCTTTTTACTTTAGAGTTCTTGAAGAGCAAAGTAATTCCCACCCTACTGGCATGTGTGATCAAGCTTTGGTTCTTGGAAATATATAATCTACATTGAGATGGTAATTTCTTCCACCACTAAAAGCTGAGGCATTTTCAAAGCTGAAACTAATTCTGGAATTTCACATAAGAAGCTGCAATATTTATGTCAGTTGTCAGTTATGAATTTCCTTATCAAGATACTGATTTCATGTCGTGTCTCAAGGCCATTACTTTTTTTGGATGATCACTATGTACAGTTCCTCATTAAATTGCTGATGCCTGAGGAAGAAGTCATACATATATCAAGCATGTAGATAATGTACAGAATATTACAATAAATAGTAAATTGTATCATTGTAGAAAAAGTTGAAAGTAACTGTCTTTATACTATCAGACCCTAATACCACTGAATACTGTAGAAGCAGCGCATAAATGTAGAATTAATTATCTTTTTCTGGAAGTGACTGTCTTGGTCTTGTCTGGGATAGAGTTTTGTTTTGGTTTTGTTTTTTTTTTTTTTCCACTTACCTACTTTACTTACTTTTTAAACTTTTTACAGTTTAAAAAAGCCTGTTGTATGTTGGATTAAGATTTCCCAATGAGAGAATGAAGAAACCATATTTCTGTGTGCCTGCACAAAATGAAAGAATCTGCATGTCTATTCAAGTTAGTTCAGTAGATGGCTATGATAGACATCAAGCTAGTCATTGAGTTAGTAAAGAAAAGCTGTAACTGTGGATCATTGCAAAGATTATTTTGTAGATGTAATGAAATGCTAAACATTTGATGCTCAGTGAAATTGGGAAATTCACATTATCAGTGTGCTGTCACTCAAATATTCTTGTCCTCTTTTGGAAATTGCTTTGAAAAGTAAGTTAGTGCCTAACTAATGTTTTAAGTATGGCTTCAGGGATCTAAACTAATGGCTACTTTCCTTTTACGGACAACCATTACTTTCTGCACGGTGCAGTAGTTGTTGACCATGACTATATTGGCTTCTCTGAAAGATCTAATAATTCAAGCCAACCAGACTCTGTTACTGAAGGGGAAATAAATGCCTACAAAAGAGATGTCATGTCTGCTGTACAGATTCCACCTGCAGCCTGCAAAGAGCAAGAATCAGCCAATGGTAAACATGAATCTGAGCTGAGAGAAGATCGTTGCACTGAACCAAACACTGCAAAGCCAGAACAATGGCCTTCACTTTGTTGGACCCTTCAGACCAAGATAGAGGATACTTAAGTGTAGTCTTCGGTCCCATTTCATTGCCAAGCAGTTTGGAACTACTGTGGCAGGGTCAAAAAAAGAAAGAAAAAAATATGCTCCAACTTCCTTAGCCCAATCCACTTTCATACTTTATCATACTGCAGGTATCTACTGGTTAATTTGTCTGGGTACTAAGAAAAAGTATTAGTAAAGGCACATATTCTGATCATGCATTTAAATTTCAGATTGCGTTGGTAAAAAGGCATTGCCACTGTTGTCCTCTCAGGACATGATGCATCGATGCATCGTTTCACTGTAATGACCTTTTCCACTAATCCTTAGATGACTCATTCCTAATGTGTGCACGGAGAGATTAATTTAACCTAAGCAATTTGGTGTAAAATTTCCCCCACTACAGAGAAGCTCATGTCATCCCTTTCTTGTTTTATAATGTTTTCTATTCTTTCTGGGAAGCTGCAACCTCTGGCTTTTACAACTTTTAATTTTTAGTCTAATCCATTTAAGATCTCACAAAACAATAAAACTTGCAAAATCAAATACAGGTAGTGTTCTGTGCATGAAACAGTGAGGGCTTCAGCTGTTCCATGCTCATCAAAGGTCTGCTAGACTAGGCAATTTTAATTGTAAAAAAATCTTAAGGATGTTTAATATTTATTTGTGCTTCCCCCACAAATACCTGTGTCTTCGTTTGAAAGACAGGTGTTTGCCAATGAAGGCAGGGACCCCCCTTGGAGTGGTGGATAGACCCCCCCTTACCCCCAAATTATTAATAGCTTTGAAAATCATGGGCTTTCAGGCAAGAATATGGGTAAAAGGGAATAACAGCTATTTTAATATGTTTAACAAGGTGAAACAAGTAATAGCAACGATAGCAACGAACAACACAGCCACAAACACAGTGACAGCTTCACAAACAGACACACCCTCCCCTTTGGTGCAGTTACGGTCCCAGTCGGCAGGGGTGCTGGGCAGGCACAGTTGGCACAGTTGGTTCCCAGCTGGGCAGGGCAGGCACGATGATTCCCTGGCAGCTTCAGGGGACACTGTGATGCAGGTCCTGGCTAGGTTCAGATCTCCCACCTGGCAAAGGACAGGCAAAGGACAGGCACAAACCAGCAGAGGTGGATGGAGACTTAAAATCTCACTGGTAGGTGAAATGGGAACTTCAGGGAAGAAACCTGGGAAGGCACCCATGGAGGCTAGCACAGGTAAAACGGCACCCAAGGAGGGTAGCAGAGGTAAAACAGGGTACCCATGGAGGGTTGCGCAGGTAAACCTGGGAGGGCACTCATGGAAGGTAGCACAGGTAAACCTGGGAGGGCACCCAAGGAGGGTAGCACAAGTAAATAGGACACCCATGGAGGGTTGCACAGGTAAAGCTGGGAGGGCGCCCCGGCAAAAGGGATGATGATCCCAAAATATCTCTGAAGAGTCCTTTGGGAGAATATCGAGTTGGTTTGCACATTCTCCCTAAGACGTGAATGCCCAGGGTGGGCAATAGAGGKAGTCAGGAAGGGGTCTTGATAATCCATCCTTGGCAGGGGCAATAAGAGGAGTACAGAGCAAAGTGGTTAAGGCGAGGAGTGGCAGGGCTGGGCGTGGAAGTGCAGGACTGGGAGCACGGGCTGGGGTCCTGTGGGGAGGCACCAGGCCGGGCTGGAGCTGTGAGAAAACAGTGGGCTCAGCGCCGGGCAGTCCCTGACCCTACGACCCGCCCAGGGCAGGGGCAGCAGGGGCCTCCAGTCTCCATGAGGCTGYGGGATTCTCCGGCCGCCTGTGGTGCTGCTGGCAGTACAGTCCACTGGGAACACCAGGGGAGGCTGCGTTTGGACACTGCAAAAGGAATATCTGGGAAATGCACATTGTGCGTGGAAAGATCAGGATTTTAAGAATTTTGTTTGAGTTACTGGAGAAACGAGTGATTTTGATCTGTGTGAGAAGGGGTAAGGAAAAGGTGATGGCAGAGTTATTACAACCCTGGAAAAATAAACTGCAGGATGCAAAGGGGAACCTGAGAGAGAGGGGATGGGGTTGGCCACAAGGATGTGGCAAAGGCATTCGCTCCTCAGCAAGGGAGAGCAAACCCCAACACCGGTTGGGGGAAAAAAAGAGGAAAAATTTGTGTGCTATTTGCAGGGCAGAGGGACACTGGAAGCGGGAATGTCCACAGAAACAGCTGGATCCTCAGGAGGAGGAAATCCAGAGGATAATGGAGTCTTAAGAATGTCAGAGGATCCTATTATACCAGGGACCCACCACACAGGAACTCTTGATAACTTTTAAAATTGGTCTGGATCGGGAGGAACTGTGTTTCCTGGCAGACACGGGGGCCCCTCAATCCGCTTTCAATTTTATCCCTAAGGCAGGGAAGACTGTCAAAAAGTTCTTTGATTATTCAAGGCGTGAGTGGAAAAGACGAATGGGTGTGCTTTATCCAATCGCTATTAGTATATGTGAGGAACAGGTTTGAAAAGCATGAAATCCTGCTGTTACAAACACATATTATAGTGTTGGCTTTCGCAAATATTAAGATGAGTGTTTATAGCTTGGGTTCCTGAGCCATAGCTATGTGTGATAAACACATATTGTAGTGCTAGTTCTCGCAGAAATTCAAGGTAGATGCTATGTGTTGTGCATCATAATATAATATTGTTTTACTTGTAGAAAAAGTTTAGTTATGCAGACATAGTTTGGCAGAAGCCTTCCTCAAAATATATGTTGCTGTGGGTCTTTTTACTCAAAAGGCAAAACGAGCTGTTGAGGGTTGTTTGATTTGTGCTAAAACCAATGACAGGGTTGCAAAGAAAACTGCCAGGGGAGGGAAGCCTTGGGCTGCAGTCCCTTCCAAAAATGCCAGATATATTTTACTGAAATGCCCCAAGTGACTTACTTCTGACAGGGAGGCCAGAAGCATTGGCAACTGCTTCAGCAACTACAGGATTGGTTGATATGGTATTTCTGGAACAAATAATTCCAAAATGTGGAAATAGTGGAAGCAGTAGACTCAAACAGGGGAACACACTTTACAGGAAAAATTCTTCAAAGGGGTCACAGCTGTTTTAGGCTTACAATGGAGCTTCCATACCCCCTGACATCACCAGAGTTCAGGCCGAGTATAAAGAATGAATGGGAAATAAAGAAAAACCTCTTGAAGTTGGTAATAGAACAATGCCATGGGTACAGTTTTTGCCACTGGCTTTAGCAAGAATAAGGGCCAGGCCCAGGGAAGATACTCACTCATCTCCCTTTGAATTGATGTTTGGGATTCCTTACCCTTGTAATTGTCAGCCTAGTGGGGGGACAGAGATAAGCAATGTATATTTAAAGCAGCCTGTGGCCAGRATACTGTCTCTTGTGAAATGTCTTCGACAGGAAACTCAGCTGGCACAGACCCTGCCTTTGGACTCTGCTGTTCACAGCATCCAATCAGGACACTGGGTCCTGGTTAAGTAGAAAGAAGCAGCACTGGTAGTGAAGTGGTGTGGACCTTTCCAAGTGTTACTGACCATAGATACAGCCATCAAGACAGCTGAACACAGGTGGACGCATCACACTCGGGTCAAGTTTCTAAGGTCCCCGAGATTTGGACATCTCAGCTGGAGGAGAAGGATGGGAGGCCACAACTGACACTCCACAGGAGCTGACTGGAGCAGCAGCCAGGGTGTCAAAATCAGGGGAAGCCCCTGTGCCTAACCACAGACTGTCTGCTGAAATAGTCCGTGTGGGCATCACTCCCTTCAGGTCTCCAGTCACTGCAAGGGGCTAACATTTGCTGTCTTTGTTTTGTTTCTGTGCCTTCACTTGCCACAGGTCGTGCAGAAGATAAAATTAGGTGATTAGATTATACCATTAGAATGTTTTTCTTAATAATCTTACCTTTATATTGTCAGTTAGGTTGGGGCCAGAAGTAAGAGAATAATTTTTTTAGACCCAGGAGAATAAAATCAAGTCAATGATAACTGAAGTTTGTAAAGACAATTATTGGTAAAATAAAAAGATGAGGGATTGAAAGGAATGAGAAGGGAGTGCCTTTACAAACAGACTGATTCTGAGAGTAAGATAAGGCTGATACTGGGAGATAGAAGGAAACAAGGGGAAGGATTTCCATAGGAATTCCTTTGATTGATTTATCCCACACTATGTTAATAGACTACAAGAGCAGAGATACAGAGATGTATATTGAAAGGGAGCAATGTATGATAGAAGGAGGGTTTCATAAGGCATTTCAGGGAGCCTCTACCCTCAAGTACCTCAGCCAATGAGGAAAGAGAGGGAACTCTCTTTGCGGCCCGGAAATTAGGATAAAAAGAGGCTGTGTCCTCTATGAATTTGAGAGACCCCATGGGAAATGCCCATGACCTCTCCCTTTATTCATGAATAAAGTTGCGGGACTCCTCTGTCTCCTTTTTGGACATAAACCTCTGGTCCTTGTGGATTAATTTTCCTAACATAATGCTTTTGAAAAGAAACTAGTGTCAGGGATAAAACTGGAGAATAAGGTAGTTGTTTGTAAGACTCACTCCTTTGGTACATATAAAAGAGAACCACCCTCTTATCTTTTTCTTACTCAAGTGATTAGTTCTTGAATTTTGCACAGTGCAGCAGCTGGGGAGCTCTGGGGTAGTGGAAGTACAAAGGAGTTGTTAAGAGTTACATTGAAGAGAAAGAAAATGCTGCAGTGAGAGAGGGATGGGCAAAATAAAAAAAAAAACATTTAACATACTGCTGATCGTTCAGGCTTCCTGGTAATTTTGATCAACTGCATTAGATCAATGCCTAGATTACTAAGCCTGTAAACTGGCATTAATGACTTACCAGTGCACTGAAACGTGGCCTAATCTGCCTGGGGGAGGGTCACTGAAATAAAATACAGGGTTTTCAAACTACTGACATGAAGAACAGTCACTGCAAACAGGAAACTTCCCCCCACCAGGAAATGTGAGACACTGCAAGCAGCACATAGTGCTTGGGGAAGCTTTCACCCCAGCCTCAGTGTGTTTATGACCAGTGAGTTGTGACCTGCCCACTTTTGGTGTTTTATCCAACTTAGATAAATATACAAATGYTCTTTTGTATTCTTTCTTACTGGTACACAGGTTTTATTTATGCTACAACAATAGCAAAAGACTACTTAAAAAGAGATTAGAAATTCTGTTTTCTAATGGAGTTTTTGCCCCCTCGTGGTTTAGAGGGGAGGAACAGAAGGGGAAACAACATCAAAGAAAGTGCAAATTTCCTTATACCTCCCAGAACAGTGCTATGATCATTTTTCCTTTGGGTTTACTAACAGCATTACCTACCAGCTCAGAGCTTGATGAAAAACACTGTAAAAGCAGTTTCTAGCAAAAATACTGTATTAATATTCAAGACTGTTTCACTGTGGAATGGAAACCTTTCTAGTCTCTTGTTGGAATGCCTCCTGAACTTTCATATACCATTTGCCTATTCTGTGTTAAGGTGTTTCCTGCTTTCCAGGTACAGATGTTTTAAAATTTTTCCCTTTTTTTTCTGAATGTTCCCTGCAGGATGGTACCAATGAATCATGCTTTTCAGAGCAAGGAGTTACCAAATTTGAAAATACCACTTCTGAAAACCAAGTAAGTGTCTTTTATTCATTTGTTCATTTGCTTCTGAGTGACATGCCTATCAATGATATTCTGCAGCAGCCATCTCTAATAACTCTAGTAACATAGCATCGAATTTGTTGCATAGCAGCATCCTGGGTGTTTTCAGATGGAAGTTTTGGGGACTGCAGCGAAGTGTACACATTCGGTTAACTTAATTGGTTACCTAAAAATAAAACCTGTGAGCTATAGATTCTCACTAGGTGGTGAACACTCAGCAAGGTAAGTCAGTAGCTGTCATTGTAGGCCTGAGAGTATGGCTGCTCCCCTGTCAATCCTACAGAATTCCAGGGCCACACAGTTTCAGATTAGAAGGCCAAAACTGACATAAGTAATCAAGATTTTGCAGTGTCTTCAAAAAATGGGCAATATACTCTTCTGCACATATTAGAAGACTGCTGACCTGCTGTTTCTATCTTAGTAACCAAACTGTGTAAGTTTGCAATGAAAAGCAGCACACTAAAGGTTTTAATTTGAAGAGGCTCTTCCAGATAGAAGCAACCAGAATTAATCAGAAGTAAACTGAATTCTAAAACATTTGATTCAGGAGCAGTTAATCCTAAGAGATGCATTTCCTAGTCCTTTCAAATTCTACCCAGATGAAAGGATCTGCAGCAACCTTGCTGCACTGGTAGCAGAAGCAGGTAATGCCAATAAACAAGAAATGTAGGAAATACAGCACTTCCCCTTTGCCAGGCAGTGCTACAGCTTGCTATTGCAGTGATTAGGCAGATCACTTGGATACAAATTTCTGTAATTTTGTATGTCCATGTACAAGTCATTACTCACGAGTGAATCCTTTTCTGGGTGCTTGAGAAGCATCTCAAAACTCAGCAAAAATGGAGCATTCAGAGCTGCAGCTGGTGGCAAGAAGTGCTGCCTTGAATATGCAGACTGATATCTAAATAAGTGGGTTAAAAGGGAAAAAACAGATTTCACAAATACAGTACTTAAAATTAGTTGATTATTTTTGGCAATTGATGCTTTTAATCTCCTTATGTCTGACTTCCCCCTTCCATAGAGAGTGAGTAGCACCATGTCAGATTCCGGACAAACTGCAAAAAATACTCATTACTCTTCACAAAGCTGGCATACATATGACAAAAGCCCCAACAGAAAAGCCCTTAAGAAAGTAWGTTCTATATTTTGTGTAGTGATATGCAGTAAACAATACATGTGCTTCCCCGCCAGATTGATTCTGAGTGTTTAACTAGTCAGAGACATTATCCATCACTCCCTAGGTTAGAGACCAAGAAGGAAAACAGAGCATATAGTTACGGTGTCATACAGCAAACTTAATTTTTTTAGTCTTATCTTTCGTGTGCTTGTCTGCAGAGGGAGACGCTCGGGGTTTGCATTGGAGTCAGTCGCAMGGTGGCAGCCAGGACTCGCGGGAGCCGCCGCCCACGTGGGGTGCGAGGCTTGCAGAAATTGCTGCCTGCCTTGCTCTGCTGAGGATTTTTTCCCTGAAGTACTTTCGCAGCAGAATTTTCTGTAATTTTCACACCGAATTGTTGATAATTACGGGAGCATGAATAGATTTCCAAGAGCAGCATGACCTGCATTGTGCGAAGGCTGCATGACTGACCTGTCATGTGAGCCAGAGAATAAAAATACTCTATGCATTAGGTGGCTTTATGCCACAGCTTTCAACTGTGGCAAACTTCCAGTATAGCTTTATACCTTCTAAAGAACAGGGCACCTTTCAGTACTCTTACATCTTGGCTGCTATGAGCAGGATCTCGCAGTCAAGTGCCTGGAAAAAGGCCATTTCTCCAGTTCCAGTTCAGGTCAGTGTGACCTGAGAGCTGACCAAAGGAAACATGGCAGAATGGTGAGAGTCAGCCCTTTCTCCTGCAAGTAATTTTCTCTTGAGCAGCASTTTTAGGATATGTCACAGCTGAAGGAAGCAGAGGGAAGATGGTATACTGCTTACTGAGGATTGCAGGGTCCAGGACAGTGTTGTGCTCTGAAACCCTAAATGCTAAGTAGCACCAGCTTTAGCCTTTTCCAGCTTTTGCTAATCTCCATTCTGAAAAAAATCGTCAATTCTAATTAAAAAGAGTAAAAGATTTAGGTTTCTCGTATGTCTCAGAAAAATAAATGTAGTCTGTAACTAAAAATTACCCTAGTTTGCTGAACTGTTATGACTATTTTCTAGGAAAAAAATTACTCCACTGCATCTTTAAAACAGTACTTTGGCACACTGCCCTAGAAGACTGCSCATGCATCTGCAAATCTGTAGATTTTAGAAAATCTATATATTTTCTAGAAAGTCATACAATTAAATCAGACCTTCGCTCACATGTCATACTTCACATGCAACTCGTTAATAAGAAAGGTGAGTGGAATGGAGATAAAGAAACAGTAAAATAAAGTGTCGCCATGACCTGTAGTATTTAGAAAAATCTGGTGCTTGTTCCAGATTGACWGCCATGCCATACCTCTCCAAATTATGTGTCTAACAAAAACCAGCTGGGTGTTCTTTTACGTTTTTTTGGCCACCATGTCCAGAAACAGCAAGAAGTTTTTAGGTTGTGTTTGTACAAGTAGCTATCACAGCAGATTTTAAATCCTCTACACTGTCAGCTCCCTTCTTTTCTTCGGCCAGTAATGCTTAGCTATACAGATGAATCTAACTTTTTAGAAGAGTTTAAAGAGCGCTTACATTGTAAGTACATTTTACTAATAAATTTTGATCAAATCAGGGAAAAATAATTTCATATTTAAGAATTAAAAAGAAACAAGTCAATACAAATCAGGGTGCTAAAACTCTATGGTTCACTAGCATCTGTTTTACATAGAAAATACAGTGGCCTAATTTCAGCTCCTAATTTTAAGTGACTTGCGTATTTGATTCTGGTTTTGGGGCCTTTTTATTGGTACACTATATGAATCCACACAAACTGAACTATATAATGACATAGTCTTTAAAATTTTAAAGTATGTCCTAATGTGCAATAAATGATTAAATAWTAAAGTTGCTTTTGTATTGCTCAGCAGTGATTTGTTCCTCACAATTTGTACTGCTAATACATATGTAGTCTTTCAAACAAGTTTCCACATGTGTATTTGAACAGCAAACTAAAAATCACCAAAGCCCCTCTCTCTGCCACACGACGACATGCTTAATCCTAATCCATTGTAGTGTGACAGACATTACTGACTTAAAGACTCTGATAAAACATAAATAAATCTAGTTTTGGCAAGGAAGAAGCTTTTGGAATTTACCACACTGATCTATAAATCCTCATTAACTTTATAGTGCACCGCTCAATTAGAAAACTATTGAATCAAGATGCTTCTCAAGGAATCAATTTACACCCCATGATACGTGGTGGCATGGACAGCTGCTTAACTGAAATTGTAATTTCAGTTAATTGGCTTGCCTTCCAGTGATGTGGGTGGCAACCTGTACATTACAGGTCAGTGCATCCTCCTCTCAGCACTTTGCATGTTCTGCCCTCTCTTAGAGCAGGTTTCACAGCAAGGTGCCAAAAAGTACCTGACACAACTTGCCAGTGGATCACAGCCACACTCCCACCACTCTGAAGAACTTCTCATGGGACAGACTATTTAAAACAGGGAGATGCTTAACACAGTACAACTGCAATGCTTAGGTATGTGGTCAGCCCAATTTTAATAAAAATATTCAGTCCCTACAATAGCCAAGATTCTTCTTAAAAAAGGCATATGAAAAGATTAATCAACAACACATGGAAGGTAGTGCCACGTATTTTAAATCTTAAAATGTGCAATTACATGTTGTTCATTAACTCAGTCTTATTTGGAACAACTGCTGAAAAAAATTTAAACACATGCTCTGCAAATCCACTAGCTTAGACTGAATAACCAGAATTCAACATTTATTACAATACATAGTATTAGCACACAGAACCTGTTAAGATAGAGGATGGTCTGCTGTCTTATTAAAATGAGAACTGTGATTCAGAAAGCTTGTGTCTTCTTTTTACACAAATTTTCTATTGCAGTATGAAGTCTCTGGTACACTGTTTTTGTAAGATGAAGCTTTAATAAGAGATAAAGAAGATTCAGTGCCTTCAAGAAGGTTCGGATATTCCATATCTGCCATTGTACCTGTACAAAATTAGAGCATGAGACTTGAGATGCTGAAATTTGATTGCTGCTGGAAAGTACTTGGTTGCCTGTCTATGCAGTTATTAAAAATGACAGAATAGCTTGGGTAGGAAGGGACCTTAAATATCACCTAATCCAACCCCTCTGCCATGGATATGAGACTTTCCACTAGACCAGGCTGCTCAGAGCTCCATCCAGCCTGGCCTTGATCGCTTCCAGGGATGAGACATCTACAGCTTCTTTGGGTAACCTGTACCACTGCCACACCACCCTAAAGAATTTCTACCTACTATCCCATCTAAATCTCCCTCTTTCAGTTTAAAACCATTGCCCCCTTGTCCTGTCACTACAGTCCTTGGTAAATGTTTCTGTCTTTCTTATAAACCCGCTTTAAGTACTGAAAAGCCAAAATGAGATCTTTGGGGAGCCTTCTGTTGTCCAGACGGAACAACTCACTATCTGTCGCACTGTCTTGAAAAGGGAGGTAATTCACCTTAGTGGCCTCCTCTGAACCCACTCCCCTTTAGGGACGCTAGAGCTGGATGCAGCACTGCAGGTGAGGTCTCACCACAGCAGAGGGGCAGGATCCCCTCCTCATCTGCTTCTCTTAAGGCAGCCCAGGATTATTGTATAGATCAGCCTCTGAATTCCAGAGAGCTGAGATTATTGACTAATGCTCAATTAATCTCTTTTAGCTTGTACTTGCAATTAAAATGTATTTGGTTGATTCCCCTCAACAAAACATTGTTTAGCATTGGAGATACAGCTCAAATAAATAAAAGGAGGAAGTGGAAACCTGTGTATTACTCTCATTGAGCTGAAACCATGGAGGCAGAGAACACTCCACATTATTTGGACATAAGGCAAGCTAACCAAATGTTAGAAAATATACCCTTATTGATTGCTTTTGAGAAAAGCCTGTGATATTTTAGAACGGATGGCATATACACCACCTATGACAGCAATGCCACTACCACTTTCTTAATTGCTGTCACTGAAACATTATTAACCAGTGACTTAGCATCTTAGCACATAGCTTCAGAGGATTCTTCCCAACTGATTTGCTTTTATTCATATACACGAGGATCAAGGCCACAGCCAAAAATAATACTGCCTTACTTTCAAAAGTGAAAAAGAAACAGGTTGTTTTCCTTGTAACAAACCTAAGCAGAACAAAAATTTGCAGGAGAGGAAGCAATTCAAGAGTACGCACTAAATACATTTCACATGAAACAGTGCCTGTAGACCAGCATTTCAGAAGGCTATCCTGGAGATTTTGCCACATGTGAGAAAAGAAACCAGCTTGTCAGGAATTTTGATTTTGTGGGTTTTTTTTGTTTTTTTTTTTTTTTCCCAGAAAAAGGATATTTATAAAATCTTGCTGGGGGGAGAAAACTTACTTTTTGCTGCACTATCATTACCCTTATTCCCCCATAAACCATCTTACAAAACCACCACAAAGAGCCTAAAGTCTATTTTCCAACCTCAATGCCACCAGTAGCCTATTACAACACTTGCAATGATGATAATGAATACTGTTTCATAAAACCCTGCAGCAATTACATCTGTGTATACTCCGCTCATAATAGCGGTTTTAGAAGGACATYATTTATGCTCTGATCATCAAACTGGACTGATTAGTCATGATGATATTACACAATGATTCACATTCCAGATGACTCATACAGAAAGGATAATTATCCAGCAGGACTTCTCTAAGTCTGCTGTTCAATGAGAGCACTCATTACAAGACTGAGGGTTCCTGCTGTGTGAAGAAAAAAGTGTGAAGAAAAAAAGAAAATCAGTACTTCCAATCAGGTAGCACTAGAAGTCCACCCTGACTAAATAACATATTTAATTTGAGACACAGGTTTCCTCTTAGCTGTGACCATCTGTTTTATTACAGAAATACCTTTCAGTTTTATTATACAAGTAAAATTCCTCCTTAAATGTTTAAGATTGACCTTAAACATAAAAAGTCAACCTTAACTTCGTACATGTATGCAGATTATTAGTCTTAAAAAAACAAAACCAATCCACCTTGTAACATAGCAAAATATGTTTCCATTTGCTATTTCCATTATTTGTATTCCACACAAAATAGCATTTTTTTTCCTTCTGGTAGAACACATTAAAATTTTTACTATATTAATTGGCCTGTGTAACTTTTACAAAAGTATCCAAAAAAAAATGCAAGCAAAAATTCCAAAGTACACTCTGACAGCCAATGCTCTGTGGATACTTTATTACACAAATTACATTCAGCTTCTGAAAATAGTGTTCTAACAGAGATACAATCTAAAAATAAGACATTCCAGAAACACATCAAGTTAGAAAGAAGAAAAAAATTAAATAGAGACGTTTTTCTTTACTTCAATGCAATATAATGTTAGTGATTTAAAAAAATAGAAGAAGACTTAGCAGCTTCATTTTCTTCTGGCACTGTATATTCTCTGTACTGCAACAGGTAAAAGACATTGAAGAGGAAAGGCACAAAACAGAAATTGGCAACTAAATAATTATGGAAAAATATTTTGATGAAGCAGATAGTAAGACTTATTTACAAGATCCCCATATTTGATGATAAAATACTACTGCTTTAAATCAGTCCTGCAATTAGAAGACTTTGCTTTATTAAGATGTTGACATAAAAACCAACGGCACTGATATGGAATTTCCATACACTCCTCCACTTAAAAAACTAACTAAAACCAAACAAATATTAAAGGAACCAGTGTAGAGCCCCACACAGACTAGAACAGCTTACAATTAAATACACAAAATCTTAAACGTGCTTAGGGGAAAAGGAATCTGACATTCTGGGTTGAACCTTATAGTGGAGAACTCAAAAGCTGTTTTCAGGATGACGAAGGTGCTGGTGGGAGTGGAGATGCTGAACACTCTTCCTCAGAATCTGTGCCATCATCTTCATCTTTTTCTTGATCACTTCCTTCAGTGCTCAGCCGGTCAAACCCTTTTCGGCTGTAACCTTTGTGACTTGCAAAGAAGTTTCCAAGGTTAATTCCACCACCACCACCTTTCCCTGTGGAAAGGAAAGGATTTTCATAAGGTTTACTTTAAGGGGGGAATAAAAACCCATCTACTAATTAAAAAGTATAGTGGTAATTACTTTAAGTGTCCTTCCAGAAACTGTTTTTAAAGATTCAGCACATGAGCCACCAAAGTTAAATGTATATATTATGAAAGAAGAAGGAAAATTATCTTTGAAGTACAAGTTTAAAACTATGTATTTTCAGCGTCCATTGTTTCATTAAGTCTACCCAGGTTACTGGTGGTCCTACCATTTGCCCTTAGTCTCAAAGTGCTTCATTTCATTTACCAGACCCATAACTGGTCTAATAAGTCACTACAGCTACTCTCCCACTGGTAGTGACTCATCCTCTTTAGTGGGCAGATAATGACAGATGAAAGTTGTTGTAACCCCTGATCTTTGCCCCCARTCCTTCCTCTGAGAAAGTTCAATCAAATCTGTTATTCAACATGAATACAGAAAAGAATCCCTTTTAAAAACATCTTCARTGACTAGACTTACCTCTAAGTCAGACTAAAATTCTGCCTGAACCAGAACCAAGTTTGTGTTCCCAATCAATTGAAAAATAAATTTCAAAAACAAGCTAAAATTCCCAATCTTCTATGATCAAACAATTACCTGTATTTTCTGATAAAAAGAACAGCCATTCAGCAAACCGATTAGCAGCTCTAACAAGCCATTAATGGCAATACTGCAGTAGTCTAGAGTGTTAGCATATTTGATATGCTATCCAGCACATTTGGTATGCTAACACTTTTGAATACAAAGAGGCAGGAAGCTGTATACTGAAATCTTCAAATAAAATACATCCAATTCAGTTGCACAGCCATATTAGATTGCTGAATTGCCTAACAGAGTAGGTCCTGACCAGTGGCAGAACTGATTTGTCTACTCCATGTATGAAAGTAGCTTGATAAAACAGTTTTGTGCTATAAAATAACAAGTCTAGTGATCGAACATCTATGACAGTATGCCAATTTATGAAAAATAATACATGGTACAAATTTAGAACCAATTTACATAATTTGTAAGTACCAATTTAAACTTTCAAAGCAATGGATGAAGGTGGATTATGGAAGCATGTCTGACTGACAAAATTGACTAGGTAGAAGAGAACAATAATACATAATCTCTTGTAAAGTCATCAACTCTCATTTCGCTTATATCTCTATAATGCCCATGGAGTCTTTTGTTCTCAGCAATTTAAAGATTCCCTACTAGAAAATCAAACTATGCTTGGAGTATTAAAATTTCTAAATTCTAGACAATAAAATATGAATATATGCTAGTTGTTCCTAAGATACCAGCTTTTGCTTTGACACCAATCAAAGTTTTTGATACAAGTTCTGAAGTGGTGGTGCCTTGAGATGCAAGATTAAAGGACAGGGGGCTGCAGATGCTGTGTCCCTGCTTATCCTTACTTTGCATGCAGCATCACTGCAACTGTTCAGGAAGGCAAAGGCACAAAGAGCTGCCCTCTTCATACCCTCACTTCTCAGTGTTCTCAGTGATAATTGGAACTGCAATAATAAAAGCCCGTTCTCTATAACAGTTGTTCACAGTTACCTCCATAGACAGTTGTCTTCCTCCACCGAATAAATACTAAAATTGCCAGCAGGACAACAACAGGGATAATAAGAAGAGTTGTAATAAGAACCAAGGAAATTCCAGTGCTGCTGGCCTGTTGGACCAAGTGGTGTTTATCCGTATTCTTTAGAGGGCCGGTAGATTCTGGCTTGTTTCTCAATCTGGCTTCTATAATTGTTCCTGATTCTTTAAAAAAAAAATAAATTTCCATATGTAATCTCTATGCATCAAGCACCACAGAACAAGGCATTAGTAGGATACCTTAAGTGCTGAGTACAAGGAAACTTAAGCAAAGACAAACTGTAATGGAGATATTTTTGGCTCTTGCTGTGTTATCCCAAATGTAAGGCAGAGATAGTCTGAATGATACCACTCACTAGCAAAGTTTACCTTCCTTTTTCTCAAATGGGCAAAGGAGATGTGTAAAACAGAGTTTTGTCCTAAAAAGTATCTACTATTTAAAATACAGGAAATTCTCATCATTGATCTATTTTTGCAAATAAGTGTGTGGTGTAACATAGATTAAATATCTTCTGTTAACAAAAACACTTCCACAAGAAACAGAGAAAGACTAAATACATCACATTATCCAAAAGAAAAGAAGTTTAAAGTTCTTTCTAATAAAACTGTGACAAAGGGTTAAATCTTACAGAACTGTTATATCCAATGAAGGAATTTTGGTTCTATAAATCTGGAGAGCAGATTCAATTCAAAATTGCATTCAGTCATTCTTAACTGATTTGTTAACTCTATACCTACAAGGAGAAAAACTATTTTGGGGAAAAATATTTATGRTGTGGCACATGCTCTGTGATACCTTTAAACAAGTAAAACTGTATAGCCATATGTTTTGAAGCTGGACTGAACAGCATGTCGTAACAAGTAGWTGCATCACAAACACACTCTGAACCAACTCATTTGATTCTGTACAAAAATTAAAATTATGTTCTATTCTGAAAGAATAGCAAATGGTTCAGTTTACACTCAACACTAATATAATGATAACGATACCATTGTTMTGACAGGTACAAGGAAAACAATGGCACAATGAAAACAAACTGTCTGTTCAAGTAGTGGTTATAGCTAAGGAAAACTTTTCCCCACCATCTCTCTCACTTCTGGGCAAAGCTACAGTTCCCCATGTATTCCCCTATGTCACAGAAGTACAAGCACTAGTAACAATCTGTCATGAGGAGGCTGAGGAGTACAGGCCATTCCTGCCCAAGATAACATGAAGTCCATCAGCTATTTTTTTTGTCCCAGTGGAGTTGAAAGATGTTAATTTCAGTCTACCTACTCTAACCACTTTTAGACAGTTACTTAAAACATTTTTCTTAACCTGGTATTACTACTGCATTTATTCTCTATGGCAACAGAAGTGTCAGCTAAAGAATGCCAAAATGCATTTCCATATCCCTAAATACACAGCAAGCTGTAATGCCAACACCTCCCTTTTGAGTGCTTCAGGCAGGCTGATGTACCAATGGAAATAAAATAAAAGGGTAACAGTTCTAGCCATAAGGATTTCATAATGTTTCCTAATGTTAGCCTTCCTTATTATACCTTATTCTATACACTTTCAATTGGCAGTTGGGATCTCTTTGTACTTTGTCTGCATATACATGGCTGAAGCAAATACATAAGCTCTGAATTGAACCAAAGAAAGCCACTCAAGAACATTTGAAAAATTGAAATACCTTTATAGAAAGTACCATAATCTGGTACTGTTTTTCTGAAAGGAAAATGAGCTACAAAAGAGAATACAAATGGTTAAAATTACTTTTCATCAGCCTTGATATTTTACCCCTTTCAATCTCCTCTATGTGTAGTAGTATCTCTACTATCTCCCTATAGTGTCCCTACATGCTTTCATTTCCTTTTTCTTTTTTTTTTTTTTAAGTTTTTATGCAGATCAATCAAACAAAAAGTGCAGTAAATCTATGGGAAGAAGTGTAAATGAAAAAAAAAATTCTATTTCTTGCCATATGGTGTGACTGACAAGGCTGTGTACTGAAAGACTACACAAGAAGATAAACCAACTGCCATTTCAAATAACCCTTTTTTTGGTGGTGGAGGGTTTGGAGTGGGGGGTTGCTGCTGGGGAGTAACTATCCCAGTTGTACTTCAGAGCTATTTCTGAATCTAAGGGACCTGCCATAGATACCAATCTGGACCATAACAGATGGTAGCATGGAATTAACCTACTAGTTAAAATTTTATCTTAGTTTCCGTGAAGCATTTGTCATTGCTGAAAATGAAATGTTTAGGTTGGCTGTGAAATAGCATCTATCAGATAACAGTATTACAAGCTTCTTTCCAGTGCTTCCTATATCAGCTCAAGAAAAACAAAATGGTCAAACTAGTCAGCATTTTTCCCTTCAGCTTGGCAGAAGCAGCCCTAATCTATTTGAACATACTGATCCCTTCATTTTCATTATGAATCAGACTAACCTTTTGTTTCCTGTACCTCAATACCAGCCTTTTTAACTGACCGATGTTCCATTTCTGTAAAACAAAATCATTCTTCAGGACAACTGATATTTCAGAAAGGCACTCAGTGACATTTTCTGGCTAGCTTTCTCCAATGTACAGTATAATCCAACAGTAAACATTCCCATCAACACCTGAACTTCACCATGGAGAGTCAATATAAAGCATTCAGTACCTCACAAGCCATAGGAAAAAAAAAGAAAGAGCTTGAGTTATGAAAGGAGCTTGGAACAATCAACTTTTATACCACAGAAAGATTTTATGGGTATGCATAAACATTCATGGATTCCTACAAAAATGAAACTCTTTATTACAATCAAACACACAATGAATTAAAGGCTGGTTGAATCAAGGCTTCTTAGCTAGTACTCTTTATACTTCAGCAAAAACTAGAGAAAATTACATACAAGGACTTCCCTCATCTAACCTGTAAAAATAGTCCATTATTTTTTTATTCTCATGTTTCTTGGAATAAAAACTGAAAATAGTTCATGCTCAGTTTACTAGATGCAGATAAAAAAATATTCAATCAGAATTACAATTTATCTGCTGCAGTCTCCTGTTACTAAGAGGAGCTGATACCAAATGCCCYAAAGGAAAATCCATTAATTAAAAACAGACAAATAAGGAATAACTAGCTTAATCATTTATAGCAGCAGACTCTTACTGGTTCACTAACATCCTGAAGCCTAAGACTTTATCTCTGTCACACATTTTTTTATCCCATATAATAGACCATATTTTTATTCCTATAAAACATGTAAACTCTCTCTGAATCCTACTAAATTAATGTCTGAATAATGAGGTCCCTTTCACTGAAGTCAGGCTGCTTGCCTTGGGGGTTACTAGATTAAAACTGGCAAGTGTTTTCCTCTATGGAAACAGGACTTTAAATAATACTAGATTCATTTTCTAACGATAAATGATTCCAATGAAATTAATACAGATTTTAATTTGACCTGTGTTTTTGCTTCATCCCCTGGTCTATGTAATAACTTCACAGGAAGCAGCATTTCTCAGCAAAAATTATACACTGGAATTACTAAAATACTAGAGTAACACTTTTGTTTAAGCAGGTACTGACAAGGGACGTATGAGGCAAATGCAGTTTGATTATTTCTGTGACAAACTCATGTGCCCAGGACTCTTCTTTGACAGAGCACACAGCAATGCTGAAAAACCGTCTTTTAATGAAAAGTGAACAGCAGCACACAATTGCTGCAGGTGGAGTTTGTAGTGCACTTAAATCACTGTTATTATGCCAAAAGRCTCTTGGTCAGCAGCACATAAGTGGTACTGACCTGAAGATACAAAATGTGAAGTTATGACATTAAGAACAAAAAAAAACATACTTTCTGCAGATGCAAACTTCCACACTGTTCTGGCATGAACATCTCCAACAAATATTGTTCTGTCTTCTGAAGCAACAATATCATGTGGCATCTCAAAGCTCTGTGAAGATAACCAGTCACAGATTACCCTTACGTGTCCACACTTTCACGAGGCCTCTTAACTAAGTCATGCCTGGTCATATTCAATCATTCTTTAGAGTGAAAAATGCTGCAGGTGCTGGTGTGAAAGTCTAAAGTGTGAAAGGAGATGATTCCATTTCTATTGAATGTTTGCCTTTTCCAAGGATAACAAAACAGAGATTATTCCATGTATTAATGCTAAAAAAATTACATGCACAATATTTCTATTTATATTATTGTGTTCCATTTTACCCTGTGAAATATATAATTTTCAAAAATAAAGAATCTTTGTTTGAAGCCCACATATTCAGTTTTTCTTATTATTTGTATGCAACTACATTCAGAAAAAAATACTATTTAATTTAAATATAATTTAAATTGGAATATAATTTAAATTGGACTGCAAATAAAGAGTCTATGTGTTACCCACAAGTTGGAATATTAACATTCATTCTCTGTCTAACACAATACATGGAAAATGTTAAAAAAACCCCATAATTTTTATGTATATAAATACTGAATTAAGGACATTTAGTCTTAACTTTCACACTAGTGTTCTGTACAGAGGTATTTAACCACACAGTTGCATTTAATTTCTGCTTAAAAATAAGCTCTATTTTTTGACAAATGACTAGCATGTAAATATATTAATGTTTCAATTCTTTCATTATTATCTTAAATTAGATTTTAAGACCTGTACTGGCAACAATATAGTAGGCTTATCCTCGCTGAAGATACTATCTGTAAGTATCATCTTGAGAGTAGTATAATTTTCAAATGTGTACCACATGTAGAAGCTAAGACCCAAAATTCTAGTGTCTTTATTACAATAGTACTATAAAGAATTCCAATTGAATACCTTATATTATAAAACATCATATTCCCTGCAATAGCCTGACTGAGGTTGGAAAAGTAGAACGTTACCAATGTTTTCATATATGTAATTACATGCAACAGGCACTCTGTGCAATACTCTACCTTTCTAAGTGGAATGAAAGTATCCATTATTTCTCCAGTAGAGAAGTTCATCACAAATCCTTGCACTGATTCTGTCTGTCCAGGATAAGGCATTCCATTAACTGCAAAGAGGAGACCACCTGCAATGATATTAGATTTGCCTTAAGAATCCATATATAGCAAACTGCAGTGAAGATGAACTGTAACAGTTTAGATTAAAAAAGACGGTCTGAGAGTCAGAGAGACAAAAGGTAAAGGTTTTCTACAGGAAACTAAACTACAAGAAAAATGTTAAGTGAGGTGTATGTGAGAGTCCTTATGGAAGACCCTGGACTGTCTCACGATTGACTAAGCCACAAGGCGTGAGAAAAGGGGGGCTTTTCGCTCAAAGGAGTCTGAGCCAGGTTAAAGTGGAAAGACTGCCAGGTTCCCAGCTCCT